ATTGATTCCTCATCTCTCTTTACGGTGGGAGTGGTGCATATATAAGATGGGTTGTACAAATAGACCTCCATGAAGGAGATGGTGGGATACTGTAAAGGACGGACTTAGCATCGTACGAGAGCATGATCAAACATAGAACAACGTCACTTCATAAATAGTTAAATACCCATCTGTAGTCATTCTCATGTAGTTATCGGATGTTCGTGTGTATATGTTCCCCTGCAATCATGTCTTGAATGTGTGTATATCCTTTACCCTAGCGTGCTTCTGAATGTGAAAATATAACCGTGTCTTTTGCACCATAAAGGTATCATAACATTTTCAACGTGACGGGTAGTTTCCGATAATGGGCAATTTTATTAATGCTTTGTTGTGTCTTTGTTTCTACCGTAATTGTGATCTAGTGCAGTAGTGCTATGTTCCTTTGTGCATGCAAACTTCTACTGCGGTGCAACAGCTTCGATTAACCTTTTTCTTAGATCAGACTTCACTTAGATTAAACTTGATGGTCATTAACAACGGTGGTCTAGGTACAATACGATACCAAATTCCGACAAATAGGGTCACGAAGGGTAATACTAGCCTAGCTAAAACACAACTTTGATAAATTATCATGAATAAGTGAGACATGTATTCTGTCCGTGATTCCAATTTTTTCACCAGATTTTCACAGTTGAGTTATCCTGCGGTTATTTTCTTAATCCTCATTTCTGATGCATTTTATCTGCTTTTGGTGCAAGTTTTCTGGTTACTGACTGTCACTGTTCCTTATTCACTTTTGAATTCTTCTGTGATTAGCTCTTCTGAATGTTAAAGCATCTGAATCGTTCCTTGAGCGAATTCAAGTTTGGTACTGCTGCCTTGGTGATTTTGGGGTCTGTACCTTAATCCCAACTTTGCATTCTTGCCAGTAGAATGTTTTTTGCGGGAGAAAAAGGTGCCTAGATTTTTTGCTATGCATCTGATAAAGTTAAATGAGTGCGTCTTTCTGATGCCTTTCCCTTTGATTTCGCGTTCCGCTAAAACTAAAACCGTGAATATTTTGAGAAAGATGCAGATCGAAATGTTTGGCACCTTAAGTATACGAGAGAAAAAGTATAGCCAAGCTCTGCATGCATATTAACTGCTCACTAACTTAGAAACTGCCATTAAAGATGTTGCCGCTCCCGTGACCTCGTGGAACGACGGCATGCTGTCCTCTTCCATGATGCCTATTGGAATTTCTTTGAGAGCGAGGGGTCAGAAATTTTTAGTGGGTGCACTTGTGTTGAAAATTCAAATGGATATATTCTCATTTCTCAATAATTCAAAAGGATTTGTAAAATCCCTCTTCCCTGACGAACTCCATGTCTGCATGTACGCAACTTAAGAACCATGGTGGGCATAGGTGTGGCCTATTTGTGCATCACCTGGCACAATCCAACCCAACCCTTGGGCCTTCCTAAGTGTTGCACCGGTGTTTATCCCAGTCAAATTGGGTTGCCGGCCCATTACCGCCTATATTTAGTTTAAATTTTAATTTTTAAAATATAGTTAAAAGCAAGTTCTATAGGATGGCGGTTTGACCCGTTGTGTTGTTTGGCGCTGATTGTTAGCCGACTAAAAGGCGATATATTCAACAGTTAGGTGTGGTGGAAATGCACATGTTGAGATGGATGTGTGCCCACACAAGGAAGGACCGACTCCAGAATGATGATATACGAGATAGAGTTGGGGTAGCGCCGATTGAAGAGAAGCTTTCCAACATCGTCTGAGATAGTTTGGGCATATTCAGCACGGGTCTCCAGAAGCGCCAGTGAATAAGACTAAAGTGTGTTGATAATGTCAAGAGAGACCGGGGTAGATCGAACTTAACATAGGAGGAGTCCGTAAAGAGGGATCTGAAGGACTGAAGTATCACCAGAGAACTAACCATAGACAGTTTGTGTGGAAGCTTACTATCCGTGTGCCAGAACCATGAGTTGGTTGCGAGATCTTATGAATTTTACCTCTAGCCTACCTAACTTGTTTGGGACTAAAGACTTTGTTGTTGTAGTAGTAGTTAAAATGTTCACATCTCTAGACAAAAGGAAGAAGATGATCCATACCTTTATTTCCATAAATTATTCATATATCACGTAAAATGTCCACATAATCAGTCAAAAATCATGACATCACACATGAGGTAAACAAGAAACCATTTACGATAGGCACACGTCATAGACATAGATGGGTTTCTAGTGGGTGCTCATCAGAGATCATGGTATTATGTAGGCGAATTGTTACCCATCAATCATGGACCCACATCATTGACATTAACATGATGACGAGTGTGCGATATGGTTTTTTGTCTGTCAGAGAAATCATGGTCTGTAAGCTGTAGCAATGCTTGCAGGGTATCACAAGCAAATGGCGATACTTCCTTAATCCGGAATTAGTTGACACTCAAACAAATATATCTAAACGTATTTCAGTGCTAGATACATCCGCTTGAGCGTCAAATAATTCCAGACGAAGGGAGTATATCCTTACTAAATGACTACGACCAATCTTGGCAATTTGTAGCAACATAGAGCCAAATAAGTTATGTTACAGGCAATTCTACAGCACAAGATACTCAGCATGTGCAGGCCCTTTATTTCTGAGATGTTGTGCTTAGAGTTAGAAGATAACTGAATCTAAGTGCTATGCCAATTCAACTCAAATAACAGTGACATCGATTCTCTATGCGCCTTCCTGTAAGAGCTAGTTCCACACCTTCTCACGCCCCAATACCTTCCATTCCAAACCAATGAACTAACAAGAGAGAGAACATGGTTTCTCGATCTGTTCCACTTTATTACATGGAGAAGAAGAGGAGCCTACACGCACAAACCTCAACTAATTCTTCATTTGCCTTGTGATGGGAAGCTAGGCATATATGGGATGGACTCATTAGAAGATAGGGAAGGGCGTTTATTTTTTTGCTAGGGGTGCTTCCTCTGCTTTGAGAAAAACACAAAAATGACGGGCTATGGTAAAAAGAAAGGGTTAGTGTCCGAGGAGAGCAGGAGTAAATAGAGAGGCACCAAATTTCATAAATACCCATCTCTCATTATTCTTTAGTTCCCAAATGTTCATCGCTTGTGAGTACATATCTTCTCCTGCAGTTAGGTCTCGAACCAATCCTTTGTGTGCTCCATACCGTACCAGCAAGAGTAAATAGAGAAGTATCAACACTTCAGAAACACACATCTCTTATCACTCTTCTCTAGTTACCAAATGGTTATGACTTGAGGGTATGTATGTTCTCCAACAGTCAGGTCTTAAACCAATCATTTGCATGCTCCTTAATCTGATGTCGTATCAACTTAAAGACAATACACACAAAAATAATAACCATGTCCTCTTGCATCATAGAGCGATTAGAACATTATTAAAGTGCATGGTGATTTTCTATATTTGGCAATTTCATTAATGCACATCACCCTAGGACAATAATTAAACTCGGCCTTTGCAACACCATGATGGCAAGGCATGGGCAATGCACACATTCAACATACCAACCAGCAGAAAATAAAAATAAAAATTAAAAGCCAAGGAGGAAGATACCCATAGTCGGCGTCTTTAAATAAGGCACCACCTAGCAGGTGTGGCGTTGCAAAGGCCGAGCTCCATGGAGCTTGTTTTGAAAAATAAAATAAAAATCAAAATATATTTAAAAGTTTCAAAAAATGGTGATTTTTTCCTACAAATACATATGCATATTCCTCAAGTATGTATAAAATTTCATCAACTAATTTGATTATTTGCATGCTACAGAAGAAAGACAAATATCTGACCCTAAATACAACAAAGAAAAAGCCTATTTTAATCTGTGTTTTTGAGTTTTTTATGTACATCACATATGACTATATATGTTCATAAATTTGTATACATGTATACTATAAATATATGTCCAAATGAAAAAAAATCAGTTTTTTTAGATGTGAAAAAGGTATTTTCACTGAAAAAAAGAGTAAAGAGCTCAATGGAGCTTGGCCTATGCAGGCACTTTTGGACCAGCGAACCAACCTGTGGTATCCCCAGTCCATCAGGGTTCAAATCCTGGTGCTCGCACTTATTCCTGGATTTATTTTAGGATTTCCTGTGATGCGCATTCAGTGGAACGAGACGTTCCCGTCGACGACGAGGTGCCTACAGTGACTTCGTCAATTTCAAGATGATATGCCGACTCAGACTTTCGGAGGTACTTATAGGGGTAGGGTGTGCGTGTGTGCATTCATCAGGATGAGTGTATGCGCACCTATATGAGCGCTTGTGTCTATACTATGTTAAAAAAAGGCACTTTTGGACCACGTAGCTCCTCTTTGATCATGGCAGCACTACAAGGCTAGGAGGAAAGAATGCAAATCAAGACCAATTTGCAAAGCAATTCGCTGATGAGGTACAAACAGCCACACTGTCTACAGAAATTTGCATGATTTTTTAATACAACTTAAAACATAAGAGAACATGCTCAGAAGTACCATCAATATACAAGAAAAACATACGCGTAGCAATGTTACAAACTTACTTATAGAGATAACAGAGATTCCACATATTGGTAAATCAGGAGAATGGTTACTTATATGCACATGCTGCTATTGCAGACATCAGAATATTTCCAAAAGATAATCAAATCTATCAGAGTTGTATCAAAACCAGTGATGGACCATTTGCGTAAAACAAATAATCTTGGGATATCACCCTGAGCTGCCCTTTATCTTCTTGCACATTGGCCAGACTAAAATTATGGTGATATCTCATCCAATCCGTCGTTCGAAGTAACAGAATTGGAGTGCAAAATTCAGGAACTAGCAGCAGTTACAATCACCCTTATGACCTCTTCCACCATGATGCATAGTAGCACACTCCTAATATTATTCAGATGATAGCCAATAGGTCCTAAAAAGACAACAAGCGCCCTTGCTTGGTAAAAATACACTTTCTTTGATCTGAATAGCTTATTTCACCGGATTGCTCGGCCAACGGCAGCTGCACTATCTATTCTGGTCCACTTCAGTTCTCCGAATCATCAGAGTCACTCCTCTCAGGCTCAGCTTCTTCGCCATTTGCAGCAGGCTCTTGAGCGTCTGGCTTGGGTGCAGGAGCTGGTGCAGCTTTCTTGCGGTCACCACCTTCACCACCCCCACCTTCACCACCTTCTACAAACAAGTTAAAGAACTTTATACGTAGACAGGTTGGCATACAAACGGCGAGATTTCCTTTCTATGATGGTTTGACCAATGAACACAATGCAATCATGATACAAAACCGAAACGTCGGTGTCGATCTTTTAACAAGGTTACGTTTGGAAACATCTATACGCAATCACTATAATGGCATGCTTAGGAGATTCACAACATTATCTTTATCAACAAGGGAAGTAAATATAGACATAATGGTTACTAAAGTGAAGGGCAAGCAGTTTGTGCATTAGGAAGTTGATGATGAGACAATGGAAGTGCAAAACTACCAACCAAATAGTACAGAAAGAAACAAATTACTGCCATTTATTCCATTGCAATAAGGTGAAATATTTTGCATATCCCACGGACCAAAAGGATACTGACAGACACTCCATGCATAATACTTATAAGATCCTTCTCAACTCGGTGAACAAGCTCTGCCTGCAAAAATGAGTGCATGCAAGCTTTAGCATCCTGATTAACAGTATATTTCAATCAACATGGAAAAAATTATAGCTGAAGGGTAGTCAATTCATATATACATTCAAGTCAGGCTCTCTGCGATAACGTCGCCTGCGTGCATCCCTCATTGGAGGAGTAAGTCCATGCTTGTATTCAACTTCTTCAGGAGCAGGATCAACATCTTCTCTTACCATTACCATCTGTTCCAGTTTAAAATGATTAAAAGGCCTACAAATTAATGAGATATATACGCAAACCTTCACTTTTACCTGACCAATATCAGCAGCTTTAACTAAAAATGAATCATCATATGTCTTATATGACTCCACAACAGTTGGGAGATCCAAGAGAGATGCAGGAAAGCTCTGGTTACCAATCATAAATGTGCCACTTCTTCCATCATCTGTAGGAGGAAAAATACCATCAACCAGAAGGTGACAAAGATTAAGTAAAGATCAGTCCTGATAACAATTATATACTACTCCCTCCGTCCCATAATGTAAGACGTTTTTTGACACTAGTGTAGTGTCGAAAAACATCTTACATTATGGGACGGAGGGAGTACTATAGTAAGTTGTATTCTCAAAAACCATGAGAGACCATTGCGTTGTAATTACAGGAAATGAAACACATAAACTGAATATGCACATACACAATGCTACATCTAAAGTTTGGCATGAATTAATTTATCAGCATTTGAAGGGTATAACTACAGAGGTTGTCTAGTAAGAGCCTGTTATGCCACTATGAAAAAGCCTAAGTTTTTCAGAATCATATATTTACTGACCCAAGTTTCTTTTTTGTTGCCAATATAGACTGGTTATAAATAAGGCAAGTTGAGCACATCTGGTTAATGCAATCCCAGTAACTTGTGGAAAAGGGAAAACAAACACAGAAAACAATTAAATGAGATCTTCAAACTGATCTCATCTCATCCGCAGATAAATATCTAGAACGCAGCAACTGTTGAGCTACAAATAAACAACGCAGGTGTGGAGTTTTGTGATACGGTGATACTTCAATTATCTATTTAATCTGTGTGAGCAACGCTCATTTGAATTGTGTTAATGAGACAGTTAGAACAGACTAATCTGCTAACAACACATTCCAACCTATCAGTGCAAATATAGGGCATCAACAAATACAGTGTTAATCACGGTTCACTTTATTCATGTTTCAGACAGGAGATAGCACAATGAAGCGTGTAATCGCCGGCCGGCCGGCGATGGGCCGTTTGCTTCAAACTACCAAGAACACTTAACACATACCAATATACCAAGATGCGAGTCAGTAGTGCGAGATATCGGCATATCACTAGGGCAGGGTATCCCAATGCCAAGTAATAGTTCGTCAACCACATGCTGGCATGCTGCCACGCCAGAAAACTATGTAACAAATAACCGTCTCTGTTGCAGTGTATTCTCCGAGAAATACCCGTATCTGTTGCTCAGATCCACACTTCTACTACTCTACAACAATTTCCCGTGGAAACAGGAAGTAGAATTTGCGGGGCGAAGAAGAAGAGAGGCAGGGGTCACCTGAGAAGGAGAGGTTGAGGGAGGCGTCCTCGGGGTTGGAGGATGAACCGGCAGCGGATTCGTTCATAAGGCGCTCGATCTGCTCCGCCACAGAAGGGGGCACGCGGAGGATGAAATGCTCATCCATGGCAATTACACTGTGGGGAATCGAACTCTGTACAAGATTCCAACAGAAGTAAGTTCGAATGATAGCTACCCCTACCCCTTTGTCTGTTTGCCCTAGAGAAGAATTCACATCATCATTTCAAAATAAAATAGTTCTGTTGTACAGGCATTTCGTTGATCCTCATTCATTAACATATGTTTCACTTTTCAAATCACCATATTTGGAAGGTCGATGGAACATTGAATGGTTCGGTGACAGCAGTCCTAGAGCATTTGTAGCCCGGTTTTTGTTAAAGTAGGCCAGTTTTGCTGGATATTATATTGCAATGGACTTACTATTGAAATTAGAGTTCTCCTTACTTTATTCTCATGAGAATGAAGTTACATGGTTTGCTAAAATTTATCTTTACATGGTGTGGTGCAAATACATAAATCTACATTGATATTTCTCTGCAAAAATGTGTATCACCTAGCAAACATTATTTCTTTTGCAGGTCACCCACAGGTGTCGCAAAATTTACAGGGCTTTCTTCAAACTCCAATTTCTTTAATACCGTAATTTTCGAAAGATTTGGAAAGTCACCTACAATTATCGTGTGTTTCTTGGATTTATCTTTCCAACTACCTCAATATGTTTAACTGCATAATTCCACTGAACTCAACAAGTCAAGAAAGACACACAAAATCGATCTATTAATTATTTCTCTTTTATTTATTGCATAGCTTCCCCCCTGAGCCCCTGTAACCCTAGAACCTATACACACCTACCTACAGTTATCCTTACAAGTGCCCAGATTTGCATTGGCGTGGCCCGCTTACCGGATTGGCCGCTGGCCGTAGCCTCCCCTAGCCCCGCCGCGCGCGCGTCCACGGCTCCGGGACGACGACAACGACCGTTTCCGAAGCGCGAGCCTCCCCTCGCCTCTCCTCTCCGGTCGCCGGCGATGCCCCCCTCCCGTCTCCGGCACCAAGAGTCCCCGGCCAGACACTCCGCGGTGGCGGGAAGAGTTAGGGTGGTGGTGGAGGAGGATCCCGCCGGCGAGCGTGGCTTGGATTTGGGTGGGGATCGATGGAGCAGAGCACCGCCACGCCCAAGACGATGAGCTCTGCTCGTGCGTTTCCTATGCTTTTAGAGGAAAAGTTTTTTTTTCTCTCACAGCCTAGTTGCTCGGCCCATGGAAATAAGGCCGAGCAATCGGACATGAAGTTTCTACGCACAGGAGCAAATGCTCCTAGTGTGAACAGTAAAACGAAAAAAAATAGAAATAGATTCGAAAAATTCTGAAATATTTCTGTGTCATACTTTCACAAATGTTTGTTGTGCATGCAAAATTTCATCGCAAAATCATATTGGTGAAAGGCGTGGTAAAAAAACAAAATCGATGCTCTGAAAATGTTACTTACAAAAGCTTTTTGGGGCTCTGATTTTATTTTTTTGGCACGACTTCCACCAATGTGATTTAGTGATGAAATTTTGTATGCACAACAAACATTGGTGAAAGTTTGTCACAAAAAAAATCAGAATTTGTTGCATTTTTTTCCTAATTTTTGATTTTACAGTTCACACTAGGAGCATTTGCTCCTGGGTGTAGAAAGGTACTTTCGCAAGCAATCGGACATGAAGTTTTTACACCCAGGAGCAAATGCTCCTAATGTGAACAGTAAAATAAAAAACAAATCTAAATAAATTTGAAAATTTCCGAAAAAAAATTGTGTCAAACTTTCACAAATGTTTGTTGTGCATGCAAAATTTCATCATAGAATCACATTGGTGGAAGGAGTGGTAAAAAAACAAAATCGATGCTTTAAAAATGTTACTTACAAAAGCTTTTTGGGGCTTTGATTTAATTTTTTTGGCACGACTTCCACCAATGTGATTTAGTGATGAAATTTTGCATGCACAACAAATATTGGTGAAAGTATGTCACAAAAAAATTTGGATTTTTTTGAATTTACTGTACACACCAGGAGCAAATCCTGGTGTGAACAGTAAACTAAAAAACAAATCTAAATAAATTCGAAAAATTCTGAAATTTTTTTGTGTCATACTTTTACAAATGTTTGTTGTGCATGTAAAATTTCATCGCAAAATCATATTGGTAGAAGGCGTGGTAAAAAAAATTGATGCTCTGAAAATGTTACTTACAAAAGATTTTTGGAGCTCTGATTTTGTTTTTTTTTGGCACGACTTCCACCAATGTGGCTTGGTGATGAACTTTGTATGCACAACAAACATTGGTGAAAGTATGTCACATTTTTTTTTGAAATTTTTGTTTTTTTTTTCTATTTTTGGATTTTTCTGTTCACACCTGGAGCATTTGCTCCTGGGTGTAGAAAGGTACTTTCGCGAGCAATCGAACATGGAGTTTCTACATCTAGGAGCAAATGCTCCGAATGTGAACAGTAAAACAAAAAACAAATCAAAATAAATTCGAAAAATTCTGAAATTTGTTTGTGTCATACTTTCACAAATGTTGTTGTGTATGCAAAATTTTATCGCAAAATCCCATTGGTGGAAGGCGTGGTAAAAAAAACAAAATCGATGCTCTGAAAATGTTACTTACAAAAGCTTTTTGGAGCTCTGGGTTTTTTTTTGGCACGACTTTCACCAATGTGATTTATTGATGAAATTTTGTATGCGCAACAAACATTGGTGAAAGTATGTCACAAAAAAATTCAGAACCTTTTGAATTTTTTTCCTATTTTTTTGATTTTACAGTTCACATCAGGAGAATTTGCTCCTAGTGTAGAAAGGTACTTCCGTAAGCCAGCAATCGGACATGGAGTTTCTACACCCAAGAGCAAATGCTCCTGGTGTGAACAGCAAAATAATTTCACCTCGAGTTGCTCGGCCCATGGAAATGAGGAGCTCTACTTTGTCGTTTCCAGATGCGTCGCGCAAGCTGGAGTGTGCTCCACCTCTTGCTTGTGCTTGCATAGGATGGCACAGCCATCGGGATCTGTTTCCTGGATGATGGCGGGATGCATTTGTGCAGCCGGTCCGAGCACCATTGTGTGTGGTCTCCCTGCCACCAAGGTACTGCCGCCGGTCGGGTCCGTGACATGAGGCCACACGATCGAGAGCCACCTTCTAGCTTGTATATGTGTTGTGTGTGCTGAATTGCAAGTGTTCGACAAAATGCATGATTCAGATACAAGCTATAGGGAGTTAAGTTTAGGGGATCGGCTAGAAACGGCAATTTTTTAGAGGAGCAAATATCCTTCGCTAAAGGATAGTCGGTTGTATTCTCCTCTAAATTATATGGGATTGTTTAGAGATGCTCTAAGCACTTTCTAGCAGAGAGCCTTCTTACTATTTTTTGTCACTTCCTTTGACTTTTTCTGTGGGGTAAAAGCAATTTCATTGCTTAACCTTGGTGATTCAGTCGGTGCAGTATAGCAAGGACCAGACCTCAGACAAACTGTTTGTGGCATGCCATGGTGACCTATTTGATCTAGGCGATGAGCAATATTATTTCCAGCTCGGCGAAGTGTGCCAATGAAGTACAGTTTATCTTGTGCAAGAAGATTTTTTTTCTCACCAATAATAGAGGCCGTCGGGGACTCATGTTGGCTGCCAATTCGGATTCATTTTTGACGATGATGGGCTTTGTGCTCCACTCATAGGTCAGCACAATCCCCTCCATGCATACAGTCAACTGCGCCTCTAGCGGACTATTACAAGTATGAAGATGATGGCATGACTTGAAGACGATTGAGCCTCCTTCATCACGGAGGATCATACCAACACCTTCTTTTGTTGCATCCATGTTGGATGCACCATCAACATTCAACTTGTTCCAGCGCACGGGAGGTTTTTTCCACTGATCTGGCGGTCTTCCATTGATAGACAACGTACCTATGTGACAAGCTTCTTTCAAGTGAGAGATACATAAGCTAACAACTTCTTCGGAAATGGCATAAGGAGTGTGCACATCAACAAATTAGTATAAAAACTTTCTTCAACTATTAGCATGGCTGACTGAATTAGTAGTTCGGACCGCATCATGATGAACACTGGATTCAGTTAACTGAACCCTCAGGAGTATGCACATTAGTAGCTTAGTATGACTACTTTCTTAGCATTACCATGCCTTGCTTACTTAGTAGTTCAGACTTCAGAGTGCAGCGTGATGTTCCCTGGATTCAGCTAATTGAAGCTTTATGAGTATGCAGATTTATAGCTTAGTATAAACATTACCCGCAAAAAGCTCATTATGCACATTAACAACAAAGAGACTTTGTGTCCGTACATTTTAAGCCAGGAGAAGCCAACAGGCTTCATATCATTTGACACTGAATTCAAGCTTCATATCCATGCAATGTTACAATTTACATTTTTTTCTTCTAAAAGCTATCTTCAATATTATCCAGAAAGAAACGGAAATGGAACATCTTTCTCGTAGTATGTGAAGTTGATAACTGGTGTAATTTGCTAATGACACATTGACGCTTCATTTTGATAATGTACATCAGTCAGTTAATGATTTTAAAATTCACGGCTCAAGTAATACATGGGAGCTATATTGGGTTGGGTTTTGTGAGTTGCCGGATTGTTGCCATTGCTTTTCCTTGATTAGAAGATTTTTTTTAGAGGGTGAACGCTGGTAGTTGGATGACCCATCTCCTTCCGCTTGGCTGGCGTAGACAATCGGAGGGTAAATTGGATGCATATTGTTCTCTGCAAGTTATGGTTGATAAATGCAGATGCACATTTCTATAATAGTTTCCTGTGTTTGCATGGGTGAAACAGTTAATTTGTACTTAGTATGCATTGATGCAAGTGAGATAAACTACCGAGTAGTGAGTTTTGAACTGTTTAGGGTGAGGACAGGCATGGAGGCACCTAGCAAGGTACCGTGTCTGTCCAGAGTAAGTTCATTCGAGAAGGCTGCAAGGGTTTACGCAGAGAACCCTTTTGGATAATGTGCTGACCTTGCCAGAATCCTTCGCTTGGCGAAGCTTATGGCTTGCACCGTAAGTCAAGACCAGCACCCCTCCCAGAATCCGAGATGTGCTGAC